GCTGAAATGAAATAACTGCATCTTAAGGAAATAAAATGTAACCCTTTTTGAGATGTCCTGCTAAATGAGTCAAAAAACCTTAATTCTAGATCTATAAAATTAATCAAAATAATCCAACTGTGCAATCATCTTACGTCTCATCACAGAGAATTTAATAATGCAATAAATTCTGGATCTTGGATATAAAAGACATTCCTCCCTCATGCCCCCAACAGTCACCTTCTTGGGACCATGCCCACTCTTTTGGGACATGGAAAGCCCCTTCTTCTGAGGAAAGGCTGGGTCCAGCCACCTCAGCGTGAGCTGCTTCTCCAGCCTGCCTGCCTTTTTGACAGTGCTACCTGCCAGCCAGAAGCATCCTGGTGTCTTCTGGGCTGCTGCAGATTGAACAGACTTTAAATCCAGCCAGAGGATAAGAGGTTGTTTTAATTGGCTAAATCTGCTATGTGCAAAGCATATGACCATGAATTTGTAGCCAAAACACTAATCTAAAAAAATGTCACGAACAATTTAAACACAAAACAAGAATGATATTTTTGCTTGTCAATTCTACTTTTGCCACGAGGGTTTTTAACCTAACATTGTATAATGATTACCAAATCTTTACCTTTGCTGAAGTAGAATTTTCATGGTATACTCCTTGTACCAAATCCATAAGAGCACTTGCTAAAAGTTCCACAACCTAAAAAACAAGAAAAAAATCAAAAGAAACAATTAAAAAAATGTATCCCTATTTTTACCTCAGAATGCTTCACAAGGCTTAGTAGCAAGGCAGTATTCTGCTTGATAGAAAAAAAAAAAAAGGGGTTATGTGCAAAGATCCTGGCAAATGGCATTGCCCACCTGGATATTAGAGCTGTGATCCAATATTTCCGGTCATAATTCAAGCAAAAAAAAAAAAAAATCTTGTAAGCATAGCATTTAATATACATGAAAATCCAGTAATAGCCATATTGAACATAAGCTTAAATTTCAGATAACTAATGAAAATTTTTTTTTAAATTAATTTATTTTTGGCCGTGTTGGGTCTCCATTGCTGCATGTGGGCTTTCTCTAGTTGTGGCTAACGGGGGCTACTCTTCGTTGTGATGCGCGGTCTTCTCATTGTGGTGGCTTCTCTTGTTGTGGTGCACGGGCTAGGTGCGCGGGCTTCAATAGTTGTGGCACGCGGGCTCTAGAGTGCAGGCTCAGTAGTTGTGGCACATGGGCTTAGCTGCTCCACGGCATGTGAGATCTTCCCGGACCAGGGATCAAACTCGTGTGCCCTGCATTGGCAGGCGGATTCTTAACCACTGCGCTACCAGGGAAGTCCCTCAGATAACTAATGAAATCTTAACCCAATTTATTTGCTGAATGTTTATTTCTATCAGGTGGATACTTTTTCAATATCCCCATTCTGGGAGGCATCACAATGATAATTTTCATACGTAATACAGAGAGAAAAGCAACCTTTCTAATGTGTTCATTCTGTTGTACTAAAAATGCACTGTGGATATATTTGGTGTCGGGCCCCTGGGTCAAATGTACCATAAACACTGAAAATTTTTACAGAACTGTAATATTGAAATTGTATCATCAAACCTGTATTATTTTCAAGGCCCAGGCTATTAAAAAAAATCAAACAAAATCAAAAGCTTTGAACTTGTTCCAGAATGTAAAACAAGCAGAAAATAGTAAATGGTCTCTTTGGAACTACTGTACAATTTAGAGTTGTTTGCATAAACCATCTTAATTCAAGAGGATAAAACAGTGGTATTTATTATAATGTTCAGTGCAGCCATTTCAAACAAGAATTCCTCAAGGCAACCCTACCCGCTTCTTAAGAAGTCTTAGTATCTTATATACTTAGCTTCCTATGTTATGCAGTCCTGTATCAGATTTCCACTCTGCTTCCTAAAATTTAGCTCAGTTTTGACTGAATTAAAGGATTTTGTTTCAGCTTTTATCATTCTTGTAATTGAAGACATTTATTAAGCCAAAGGATACAGACCCAAACAACAAGATACTTCAATCTCAGGTACCTTGGATTTAATAAACATTTTCTTAGACGCAAATGACATGAATTTTTAGAAAGATATGCTTTAAAATTTTAACACGTAAGCATTTATCTCCAAATTTATATTTAAATGCATCCTGCACAACACACACAAGGCTGCCGATATGGAAATTTTGCTGATTAAAGGGATTATTTTTTTCTAGCTCTGCAGATGGGTTAATTTGTAAGACCTATACAAAGTCTTTTTTTTTTTTTTTAATCGCATTGCCTTTTAGGTAACCAAATACTTAAGAAATATTGTAGCAATATGAGCTGCAGAGGAACTGCGAGGACAATGATCCTACAGTGTTACCAGATGTGTTGAGTTATTTAAGTGGGGAAAGAGAGAAAAATGAATGGATTTTTCCCCCCCGAAGGTATCAGATAAGCTCTATTCCCAAATCCAGGAGGATAGAGTATTGCCAATAGGTCTATGAAAGACTGTAACTGAATGCACAGCATCAGATTGGATTACAGTTTACACAAGCAACATCCCAAGATCCCTCTGATGGCTGGACACAAAATACAGATCAATCAGTCACTAAGAAATGTTATGGTTTTGAAACAGTTTGAGGTCTGAGACCAGCACTGGTAAAGTGAAGAGGGATTTACAAAAAGAAAGTCCGACACTAATTTTAACAATGGATCTGGTTTTGGATAAACAGTGTTCCTTTATTTCCCTGAAATTCCAGACTAGGAAGAAGCAACAAAACCTTGTTATTCTGCAATTCTTTTTCTGTTAATGCAATTAGCAAATATATGTAGATCTGCACTTACAAGTTTATAATTTATAAATGACCTGTACTTCCAAACGGCCATCCTTGCTTAAGCAGAACACACCTCCACTGCCAACAGCAACCATCAAGGAAAAAACTTTGGACTTCCTTAGGTTAACAAGTCCAGGAAGGCAAAAGAGTATAAAAAGCAGTCTAGCCTAGGGGAGTTGAATATGTCCCAGGCAAAAGTGACTTATCCAGCACACACTTAAATATCTTTCCACTGCCTGAAGTGTTTACTTTTAAAATTACACCAAAAAGAGATGTGTTTAAGTATTATCCTCCTTTAAAATTGCAAATATTTCTAGGAAGACCACAGGGCTAACAGCCCATACATATGTTAACAAGACCATTTAATGATCTCATCTTTTTTTTTCATTACATGGTTTACTACCACAGGCATTCACCTGTTTAGATAACTACTATACTTAAATACAAGAAGGCACCTACTGGGACTTCCCTGGTGGTTCAGTGGTTAAGAATCCACCTGCCAATGCAGGGGACACGGGTTTGAGCGCTGGTCCAGGAAGATCCCACATGCCACGGAGCAACTAAGCCCGTGTGCCACAACTATTGAGCCTGCGCTCTAGAGCCTGTGAGCCACAACTACTGAGCCCGCACGCCAAAACTACTGAAGCCCGCGTGCTCTAGGGCCCACGTGCCACAACTACTGGGCTTGTGTGCTGCAACTAATGAAGCCTGCGCACCTAGAGCCCATGCTCCTCAATAAGAGAAGCCACTGCAATGAGAGAGGCCCGCGCACTGCAATGAAGAGTAGCCCCTGCTTGCCGCAACTAGAGAAAAGTCCACGTACAGCAACAAAAACCCAATGTAGCCAAAAGATAAATTAAAAAAAAAAAAAAAGAAAGCACTTGCTTAATGAGCTCCTCCCTTCCCTCAGATTACTGAGGAATGATTTGTTCAAGCAACCTAAAACGGTAGCAAGGATAACGTCAGCCAGAAGAGAATCTAGAGCTCAACTGCCAGACTGTCTGACTATAAGAGTCCCCGTCCCAGACTTTTTGGTGCTCCAGAGAAAGACCAAAGACTTCTGTTCCAAGCCCAGGGGGGCAAGCAAACACTTTCTACTAGAAAAAGTGGGTTTTAATTCAACAACAGAACACATGAAAAGACTATTTTAACCAAAATCAGAGGTCTCTGTAACACTGACTTGTTGCATCCTGAAACATTATTTCAGATTATATGACTGCCACCAACACTATTATAAAGTTTAGTTTACCTGCCTAGAGAGTAATCAAATAGGAGATACGTTTCTTCATTTCTGCATTCCTGGAGGTTGTGAGAATAGCCGAATTGCTTACCTGTACATGCAAATGCAAATATGCTTTTTTCTTTGACTTGTGTCGTGTTTAACGCTACAGCAATGTCATACACTATCTTCCAATCTTCTAAGTAACACCTTAGATTTCAGTGAGCCATAAGTCATAACCATTCACAATGTCAGTGTTATGAGCTGGTTTCTCGTGCCACCTCGTTTTTGGCTACCAGAGGAGGTTGCATAGGAAAGGAAGTGGACATCAAATTGCTGTTCTCAAGCAAACAATCTCTGTTATCTTTCCCATTTTAATCACTACCCTCGCATCAAAGATAAGGAATAGGTAGTATTCAGATCTGTCTGAACCTTAGCACAATTACAGATCCAATATAACTGACCTTTGGAATGAATTTCTTAAATGGTTAATTTACAGGACAAATTTTACCAACTGCAAGGGAATATGTAATTGCTTCCTTCTTTATCTTTTGGCAAGGGTAACTACAATTCAGTGACTTTTTTTAAACTGGAAAACTAAAGTGATGCATACCCTTACAAAAGGTGTTGTAATTATTATATAATAAAATTATAATTATATATTAATAGATATTATTATACATAATTATATATAATATATATTAATTTTATATTATATAATTATATTATAATTATAATAAAATTCTCAATTTAAAAATTAGAAATTGAGAGAAGTAGAAGGTGGTAATGACCAAATGGCCAAAAAACATCCTCACTTACTGCTATACAAAGATGTCCATAACATATTCTTAAGGAAACGAAAAGCTGGTTACAAAACAGAACAACATGATTGGTATTTTTAAAACAAAAATGAGGTCAATCTATGTGTTCATATATGCTGAGAAAAAAGTCTGAAACAGCAAAATATTGATAATAATGATAATCTGTAAGTGGTAAGATTCTAGATGTTTTTAATTAAAATTTTTTCTTCAACTTTTCTGAATTGCTTAAATGTATAATTGCTTAGTATATAATGTACTATATTTTCTCTCCTTTTATTAGCTTGCTTTCATAATCAGATAAAATAAACCTACTTCTAGGGGGTGGGATGGGAAGAAGCATGCCCTGTTTCAGTCTCAGAAAGGCTTCAAGCTAAGCTGTGTCCACAAATTGATTTATGGAATATAGCAATCAATAGTCTCTTGATTAGCAAAAATAAGATCTGTAAGTGGTGATAAGCATTCTGTGCAGAAAACTTGTGTCTTTCTCAATAAATGTGATTCAGGAGTACCGTCAGTCAGCATTTGACAGATGGAATAGACTCAACAGAGTTGTACATGTTTCACTAGTAAACCAGACCACTTCGGTTTGAGCAAAGGAGCGCCTATACTAAATTTAAAGTAAAATGCAACTAAATCTTTAGAAAAATGTTAATTATAAACTAATGTGGCCCAACTGAAACTCAAGTCAGCATAAGCTGAGTTGATGTCATAAGGTAGTATAGTTGTATTTTAATTCACTTTTAAAAGGTTGCTATGTACTTAATTTGCTTGGTATACTAAAACTGTGGAGGCTACTACAGATTTATAATCGTCTTTCAAAAACTTGCACTGGGAAGGTTA